TTGGTAATAGGGAAAATTAATCTGAAAACCCAAAATGACAATGCTATCAGGACATCACTAGCATAACTGTGATGAAATTAACACATTACACACAATTTATATCTATAACTTCTATGATACTTTCAATAAAACAGAGATAGGTTGTAAAAAAATAAAACAAATAAAATAAAAAAAAGTGTGCATGAACAATAACTAACAACAATAAAAAGGGGTCACTCATGTCCTGATCGCATCAATTTGACCCAAGTGACACAAACTAAAACGAGTTTAAACAAGAACATCAAACACCAAATGCACATATCATGAGCTGAAGGCAAGACTTTAAATGAGAGGGATGGAGAGAGTTCATCGGCATGCAGAGGGAAAAGAAACAGAAAGAGGGGTGGGAGGAGTCAAGTGATGGAGCACAGTGGAACTGCGCTGCCAACCTGCTACCGGATCTTCTATTATTATGGTGATTTTTCGGTGGCCCCCTCCTTCGCACAAACAGTAAAAAGAGAGAGAAGAGAGATAGAGCAGAAGGAGAGAAAGTTACCGCAACCCAAGAAGGGGAAACACTGAGCTAAGAGAAAAGAGTGTTAATTCCAAATCATTTAAAACCATCAGACAGGAAGTGGGTCCCTTTCCGAGCAAGAAGCTGTCCTAGCCAAATCTCACAGAGCTGCCACTAAACACAGACTACGCATCACATTAAAGGAATTATATTCTGGAAAGTATTCAAATTTAAACCCAAACCCCCCCCCCCCAAAAAAAAAACATGCAACCAAAACCAGCCGACTGCAGCTGATCATGACAAGTACAGCAAACCGTCATATGGTTTAATCTGTGAACATGCAGCGCTAAGCAATTTGTCACTGCATTGACGAAAAATATACTAGCTAAAAAGCGTTTAAATCTGAAGTTCAGACACATTTATACAAAACACTAAGTCTTCAAAAAAAAAAAAAGTTACAGGTTTTATTTCAATTAACTCTTCTAATTCAATACAACATAACTTACATACAAATAGATGGAGGATCCCCCAGTTATTGTCATATGAGATCCCTCAACGCTGACTTACCATTCCTGAGTTTCTGATTGACCCCTGTGTCAGAAAACGAGCGTGTGTGTCCTCGGGACCCTCGGCCCGGCCCCCTCTGGCCCTCTGAGAAAGATGAGCGTCTGGGTGGGGGCCGAGCCAGGGAACACTGTGGCACGGACTGGTCCTGTGTCACGTCCTGCTCACTGCTGAGGGTAGAGCTTCTGGAGTCACACCGACTACGTTGCCCCAGGTTACCAATGGCCAGGTACTCCGGACCATCGTCCACGTCATAGTCGCCGTCACCAGAGTCCACGGCATCAGCCTGAAGGGAGGTGGCCGGGGGGGACTGTGTGATGGAGACGCAAGGGGCCGAGACGGGGCCAGGAGTGGGCGTCACACCTGGCTCGCTCTCTTCTGGCCTGGACACACACACCCAGGGAGCTCCCAGGCTGCTGCCTGGAGAGGTAGTGTCTGCAACAGAACAGGCATGAGGAAGGTGAGATGGATAGAGACGCAATCTTTTACAAAAACTAAAAAAATAATAATAATTAAGCTCACAGGCCTGCTTCTCACTTTGCCGATGTGGAATGGACAACGGTTTTTTTTAATCCAAAAAAGTAACAATGTTAAAATATGTTCAGGAAAACCGTTTTGTTGAGCACAGTCAGTGCAGGACATTTGGTGTTGGAGGCTGTATCAGCACATTCTTCAATAAGTGACCATCAGGTCTGTGTATGGTTACGTCAGTCAGTCTATCCACATTCACATACGAACTGTAGTGCATTCAGTGCTAAATTTCTGTTCCTAAATCAAATACTTCCTACCCTTATTTCCCAAGAAACTAAGTCATTTCAGTATTTGATGTGAATCTTTTCGTAAAAGTAGTGAAGATCAGCTGTCGGCTGACACGGAGTTATTATTACAGCACATTTAGTTGAGCTTTAGGAGAACTTTCAATGAGATACATATGATTCAGCTGAATCAGAAGAAACTCCACATTAAAAGCATAAAATGGACAAATAAAAAATACTAGACTTCTCCTCACTTGTGCTGTTGCTGTTTTGGGATTCGACTCCCGTTGTGTGCCCAGAGCTGTGGCTGGTGGTAACTGCTTCTCGGAGGGAGCAGTTGGAGGTGGTGAGTCTACGATTTAGAGATTCTCCTCTGGGAGCCAAGTCAGCACTCCTCCAAGCCCCTCCAGCCCCTGGCAACACACACAGGCTCTGGCTCTTCAACAGGCCCAGACATGATGGGCCCTTCAGAGGAGACAGCTGGGGGGGGGGAATAGAAATGTTTTGCCATTAAACAACCCACAAATCTATAGATTTTAAGGTGATAAATACACATTTGTGCAAACAAATGTCAGTAACATCATTTAATGAACCAAAAATTCAAAACATTCATGAACAAGATTAATAACAAAATGATGATATATGAATGCAACAAAGTAGACAAACTTTATTAAAGTTATTTCACAAGACCTACCCCGACAGTGTCTATTTGGGCCAACAGTTTGGGGTTATTTTGCTCCACAGCTTCAAGACACTGGAACATGGCGGTCACATGGGGCTCGCTCAGCAGAAAGGCATCATCTGAAAGGCCCGAGACAAACGACAAAGAGAGGTATGAAGATAAGCTATAGAGAGATAATGAATTAGTGAGTGAAGACACAAAGAGAAAAATCAAAAGAGGACAGAAGGTCATATGGACTGACAGTAACAGACAATGAGGGAGTACTTTCATCTGCTCCTTATTTTAGTTTACACTTCACACCAGTGTCTTCTAGATTAAACTGGCCCATTAACATCGAACTCACCGTTGTAGTATTTACGTGTGTGTCCCAGGTGCCGGAGCAGAGGTCTGAGCTGAGTCGACAGCCTGTGGACCTGTAAGCTGTGTAGCAGCCAGCGCTCAGCCTTGTAGCTTTCACCGACGCCCTGCATCCCACTGCTCAGTACTGGCTCCAAGTGACTGAACTGAGGGCGGACAAATGGAGGAGAAATGTGAAGTGGAACCATATTGTGAGGGGAGAGGTAGACGGGAAAGCAGCTGGCAGGGGTGCAAAGAGTAAACATGTAAATCCGCTGTAAATTTTTAGCATATCACTGCACAAACAATGCAACTTTAATTTTTTATTTTTTTTTTAATATTCACAATTTTATATATTTAGTGTGTATTGTTATGCACCAAGTCACCTAAGCAAATTCCTTGTTTGTGTCTATCTGCTTGTCAATAAAGCTAATTCTGAATAGCAGAGAGCCAAACGGTATTCATCTGATTATAAAGTACACATTTTAATTGGTTTTTTTGGAAACACTGAAACTAATAAAATGTCCTCATTTGTTCCTTTTTTCGTCCAAACTATTAGACAGCCAGTACCCATGGGATATTGTTCCTTAGATTTCCTTGGTTAGCACAGCCGTTATTCTATTTACTCCAAACATACCGCTGTTTGTTTGACAGAGAAAGGTCTGGCATGTTGTAATGCAGATGATAGGCTTAACAGTCTAAACAGGGAAGGCAATGAGTGGAATGAGGGGTGATAAAAAAAAAACCTGTCAGCATAAAACTAGGACAGGGCAGACAAGACATCAACAACCAATCGTCACATGATGATTACATCATGGCTGAGCACACTGTAAGCCCTGCTATTCAACTGAAAGAGGTGACCGAGGGTTTAAGAGTGACTGTTCCTCAAAACACACCGCAACACAAACCATAGGTTATCCAGGAAGGGTAGTGTCTCTGCTGAGGGCACTGAACTGTGTCAGGTATTTGCTGACTTTGCATGCAACAAACATTGCACATTACAACTTTACAAAAGAAGCGCCAAGCAGCAGGCGCTTAAATTTGCCATCTAGTTTCACTGTCCAACAAGAAAAGCAATTTATCAGCTAATTGAGGATAAGATCCCTGTCAAAGCGGCTTGTGGGGCAAACTAACAAATCTGCTATTAAAAAATATTGATCAGGATATGGATAATACACATTGATAACTTTGCAGCCTGGCTACTATTCTTTCACAAGTAATCACCAGCAATTTATTCTCTCACAAATGTTCCAAATGTAGGGTGTGCATATCAGGGTGAATAAAATGCAGAAGCACATGTGTGACTATGAATTACAGAACCTGAGAGATAACAGCCAGCCCTGGACCACTGAACAATTCCACAACAAGATGGCTCATGATTAGGAGATCAATAAAACGACTGTGTAAAAAGAACCCTGATAAAATCCACAGTAGACACCTGTAGTGACACTTTCAAAAAGTAATCAATGGTTCATCACAGTCAGCTTTGCAAATCCAGTCAATGATTTATATTTCCTTTCTGCTCAAGAGCGACACTAGGGATGCTACAGTACTAATTATGTTGTTGTAATTACATTTGACCATGCTCACACTCAAGATTTAAGTCTTATCCGTAAAGCTGTAATTGCTGATTCAGATTGCTAAATAGTGACTATTATTTCTTCAGTTGGTTGGAACCTGCCTGAAACTATGGATAGTGCCATAAATCAAATTTTCTTGTTACCATATTACCAACCTTTTCTAGGTAAATAACTGTAATGCAAAGTAAGTTCACAATCTGAAAGTTCTATGTAAGTCTACCTTATACTGTATATGAGTTAAATCTGTAGGAGAAATACACATAGCCTAGAGCAAGGTAGCAATGTTTAGGCCTATGTCCACATGAACCTGCCTCCTATTGCAAATTTAAATGATTTGTGTGCCGACTAAACTTGAAAATATTCACACTGTGCATGTGGCGGGCAGTGACCATACCTGTTCAACGTGCGAGGCTAGTTGGGGGCTGATGTAGCGAACACACCACACAAATGGCCAGTAGTCTCTCTGCTTGTAGTACACCTGCAACACAAAGCCAGCGGTTAGCGTGACCCAGTTATACAGAATTCCAGCTTGAATAAACACAATAAGCCATTATTAAAATAAAGTGAGTTCATTGACCTATTCTGCAGTTTGTTGTCCAGTACTGGGTTATGGGACACACTTTGAATAAATGACTCCTTCATGTTCAAACATATGTTGTTTGACCAGCCATTCAGACCTGACGGTCAACATTTCATTAATGCTTTAACTTTAACGTACGAGTCTGTCAGAGCTGGATGGAGCTCGAACAGAAAGTGATCTGCTATCTGTTTACAGATCGGACAGAAAACAAAAACAGAGGGGTATCAGTTAGATCTCTTGAGTTCGGACCTGCTCGTTCTTCAGTCCATGGCTCAGGATGTTGTTCATGTCCTTGTGGAGCCGCTGCAGGCCGCCGTAACGTGACCACACGTTGGGGTTGTTGGTAGACACGAGACCCTCCACCGTGGTCTTCAGGCTGGACAGTAGCTTCCAGAGCTCCCTCCTGTAGAGAAAACAGGGCAGCAGGAAGGAGTGAGGCAGGGTGAGAGAGGAAGTTTAGGAATGAGGAAGGAGGTGAAGAAGTGCTGGCGTTAGCATTGTTGTAGCTTAAATCACTAATCAGATGAACAAAAACACCCAAAATGTAAAACTGAGTCTTCAGCATTTTAGTTACAATAACATTGCTTAACTATGAACTCAGTGACTAACAGGGAGTTCTGAGCATCAGTTAATACCAGATCACCACAGCTTGACCTTAACAGATATAAATAGATGCTGCCTCCCTATAAACAAAATGTGTACAAGAGCCCAAGTCTTAAGTGCCTGTTAGCTATTTTCATGATCCCATATTATTCTTACTTATTTTGCATAAAGATGAGCACAGAGCTCTGATGATGCATTTTAATTAGAAGCTTTAAAGATGTTTTTTTCTGCAAAAAGGGACCTTTAAATAGTCTCTATGTCGAAATCCTATATTACAAACCACACATAATGGTTGATATGGATTTCAACGGGGTTAAACCATATCTTTAGGATACAGTCATGGAAAACTGCTGCTCCTAAAGTGTTCAAATACAAAACAAAATTATATCCGGTCACACACATACTGGCTCAAATCCAGAACTTCAACTTTTCTTTTTTTTTTTGGAAGTCAGCAGTGAAACTGAATGCTATTGAGAACTAGTCACATAACTACACCAGCGGTGCTAAAGATCTGCTGTCAGACGGTACCAATGCTTGAGGTGGTATTTGAGTATAGGACAATTTAACTGGTCTTCTGCTGCTTCTGCTTATATACTACACTAGACTTTAGCATTGATGTGTGCTTAAATGTATTATAAGATTTAAGAATCATCCCCCAATTTTTATTTAGGTTATCTATACGTGCCCAGATTTGTTTTGTCAGCTGTTACACTCTATTTTATGCAAGATAGAGTACATGACTGCATTGTCTAATCAAAGTGAATAACCCACATTTGCAAAAAAAATTCTTCCTTTACAAAACTCGTCATCTCAGACAAAGACAACAGAGAAGTGATGTGGAGAATGCTGAAAAGTAAAGGCTATGAAAACTATGAATAGCACATTTATGAACACAACAAGTCTTGTTTCATATAAATCAGCAGTGCTGAGCAGCAGCATCACGAGTTCGGCTAACTAACTAATCAAATCACATCATGAAACATGGAAAGAGGGAGGCTCTATGTTAGAGAACATTCTCCACAGACTGCAGAGATTGATGCATTTATCCAACAAGCCAAATATATGTGGCATTTATTGTGTGTGTGTTGGTTGGACATCATGGAGCTAAATTCTACAAGGCTCAGAGAGGTTGTTGAGGTTGAGGATTACTTTCTCTCTGTTTCGTGTGTGTGTGTTGTGCTACAGAAGCACAATTGGTTTAATACTTAAACAAATCAAAGTTATCTTGGTATACTCTACTCCATCTATCAATTACTGTAAATGGCTAGGTCCAACTTTACCTTAATGCTCTAACAACGTAATTTTAGCGTCTCTTACAACTTCTACACCACAACCAGCTAACATACACCTCACCGAATTGATTTGACAGCTAGCGTTAGCTGTTAGCGCAACATACCGTAACTATGACATAGCTAACAGCACTATTACCATTATCTTGTAAATGCCCTAACGGTTAGCTAACAAATGTACCAATTTCTTTAATGCAACCAAACTTTGAGGTTGACAAGCCTCGCAGCTCATGCCGTTTGCTCGAGTTGTCAAACCTTGACATATCATGTTAGCCTCGCCTAGCCTAGCTTTGCCGCTGGCACTCCAGCGTCGCTAACGTTAATCCACCAGTGTTCAGCTAGCTAGCTACCTAACATTATGGCTCAGTTTAAGTGAGTTGGCGCTCTAAAGATTAATGCTGATCGTCTTTGTTTAAATATCGAGTAGGTTCTTGGTGATGCATTTTCTAATTTTGTTGTTTACGTTATATAACCACAGTCACTTAGCAAAGTTAGCCGGATAATGTCAACTAGCCCAGCGCAGGCTGTCACTCACCTGCGCTCCTCCGCCTCTCCCTCAGCCGAGATCTCCATGTCATCCGGCCGGAATCGAGTGCCGTACAATGCTGCCAGCTTCCCGGATAACTCCCTGTCGTGTTTTGTACAACGGAGTTTCACCCCAGCAGTAAGGTAGCTTGAATTAACCGGACTTCCAGTCTTCAGCCATGTCAGCCCTGCCTGTCCGAGCTGTGAATGAAAACAGCGGAGGCCGCATATCATCAGCGAGTGGGCGGTGGAGTTGTCCCTCCTTCGTCTTCTTCATCGAGGTTTAACCGCAGCTGGCTTCCTTAGTGTTGTATTACTGCCATCTTGTGGAGTTAGTTACCTTCTACACTTCCAGAAAACTTCAACACTTCTCCTGTTATCCCTCATAGATATCCATAATAAAGGCTAGATGTCTCATCCGCGCTGCTGGCCAATGGAGGTCGACGTCAGCCCCTGGCGGCCATCTTGTCACAGGCCGCTCGCTCACTCGTAACATTGTGTTAAGGTGCATTTACTTTTTAAATAACCATAACTTCCTCAATTTTCTACCGATTTTCAAACGGTTTGGTTTGTTATAAACGTCAGAGATGTAGTTATGACACCGCACACATAATTATAACCATGGACTGTCATATGAAAATAACATTGAACAGAACAGATAGGTGCAATGAATATACACACGCAGAAGGTATTTATGTTAAATCAATATATAGACTACTAAAATTCAGTGTACAGAATGGCAACATGAGATTATATATATATATATTTTAGAGCTGTCAAACGATTAATCGCATCCAAAATAAAAGTTTGTTTACATAATATTTGTGTGTGTACAGTGTATAATTATTTTAATATATAAATACACACACATGCATGTGTATTTAAGAAATATTTGCATCTATATACTGTATATAGACTCAATGTATATATAATTTATATTTTATATAAATATAAACATTTTATATAAAAATAACACATTTTTCTTAAATATATACATGTGTGTGCATTTTTTTTTATTTTGGAAGCGAATAATCGTTTGACAGCCCTAATATAAATTTTTATAATATGAATATTACTATTATAATAAAATAATTTGAATTACATGTTTATTTTAACTTCTTCAGGGTTGGGACATTTTCTCGGCTTTTCTCCCCGACATTGCACTGTGCCTACTTCAGAGATCACTGTTCCCACCTAATTTTGCATACCATCAAATGCCTGACCTCTTTAGAAAGCTGAGATCCTGTAGTTTCTTAGGATAATTGTGTGAAGTACTGGCACAGAGTTATAGAGGCTAGAATATTGTTTTTTCTTTCTGCCGGATAACAAGCATCTCTGAACTGACCACATTTCAGCCCTCTAGGTCACTTGATATGACTTTAGAAACACAACTGAGCCCTAGCACCAGGTCTTGTGAAGCCGTGTGCAAAGGCAGATCAATATAGAATGAAATATGAGTACTTTTGACCATTATTTGCCAAGGTATGCTCATGCGTTTTTTAAAATGCCCTATGGAAACTCCCCATTGGACTTGTGGTTACTCAAAATGCATACTGACAAAAAAAGGCTTACTATGTGGCAACCTCTTGGTGTAGAAACATAATCCTGGTCTCAAATGAAAGGTAACACTGAAGTTTCATGTAGACTATTTGGATTGTATGTCAGGGGTTCTGATATAGAATGACTACACAAAATATGGAATAATTACACAAAAGTCTCTATTTTTAAACTATTATAAAAGTGACATTTATTTGCAATAAAAAAAGTAGGTACAAGATTCCCCTTTACAAATATACATAATCCCCACCCTGTAGAGAGAACTACACTACTGTGGAGGTATACACATGGAAGACAGAGATTTAAAAAATGACAAAAAAAAATTGCTTGGGCTAATGCCCTTTGAAAAGCCAAAATATACAAATATATAAATAATAGTAATATGGAAATTAATAAGTTACTTTTTTAACAATTCAGTCTTCACTTTTCAATTCTGAGCCTAAATACAAGATTCTCCAATTCTCTAACAGAAAACACAACAGCATACATTTAAGAAATTGTATAGGCTTGTCCACTTATAAGGCAAAAATATGTTTTGTGGCTCTGGACAAAAATGGCTCTTTTGATTGTAAAGGTTGCCTACCCTTGGGTTTAGTTTCAATGTTCACACATGTTTATTCATACCACCAATAATATTGGGCTCTTAGACTACTAATGCCATCATAGACCTTTCTGGGTACCACCAAGATAAAGGATTTAATATAACAAACCCCATGATGCTCTCATTTGTTAGACATTCCACATGCAAACACTCACAACATCAGGTTGAGGTACATCCTGAGACAAGTCCATTGGCAGGCTAATAACTACAACCACACTCACAGCTTCTTGTTATTAGCCAGCTAATAACTACAACCACATCCACAAAGAGATGTCATCTGTTCCGTTTAGTTCTGAGTTTATTCATTTATCAGTTAGGTATCCCTTATATAGTATATGGTCTTGTATCCAGTCGTCGTGGTCTATGTTCTGTTATCTTATCTCCCTTAGCCACCCTGTCTTATTAGTTTGAATCCCTAGTTAGTTGGACTTAGTTTTTGTTTGCTTGCTACCTTTAGTGTGCATCCTCTACCTGATGTTATTGTTTTTCTGGTTATTATCTGTCAGCTGGTGTTTAGGTATTTTCCTGATTTCAGTTCTGTTCCAGTCTCTTGTATTAGTTTTTGTACCATCATGCTTGAGTTCTGTCTGTTTGCTAGGTGTCTATTTATGTTCTCTGCCAGTTTCATTAATTAATCTGTTTTTGATCATTCTGCTCTAGTCTCTGTGTAGCCTTTATAATTACTCATCCTCAGTATCTGTCTTAAGTGTTCCCTCCTGGTCTGTGTACTTCTGTCTTTTGCCCATGTCTAATCTGAGTTCTGTTTTACCTTAGCTTCTGTCTATGTTCCTTGTTGGTGTTAGTTTATTTGTGATCTGTCTGCTTGTATTAGTTATTTATATTATTCTGATGTTTAATGTTGAGTAACTTGTGTCTTGTCTTTTCTCCCCTCGGTAATCTGCCTGCCTGCTAGTCTCTCTGTTTTCCCTGCTGTCTCTCTGTCTGCCTCTTCTTCTTCATATGGATTTACAGCAGTTTAGATGCTTCTAAGCATATTACTGTCCTCCTCAGGAAGTCGCTATAGTTTGGACTTTGCTTTCTGTTCCATGGACTTTGGATTTCTGTTGCCCGTTTGGATTTCCTGTGTTTGTGGACTACCTTTGTTGAATTCTGGACTCTTCTGTAAGTTTTGTTGGCTGGAAAAAATCCTCAGAAACTGTACCTGTTCTGCCTCTGTGTCGTGCGTTTGGGTCCTAAAACCTGTTCCTGCCTGAAAACACGGCCAAGTGTGACATCATCTTACATTAGGTACCACAGAGCCCGCCAGAAAGCTTGCCTGTGACAAGATCTGTCTTGTCTCGTATCTTAGTTCTTCGTCCTGTACCTTAGTTCATGTCTTAAGTGTTCCCTCCTGGTCTGTGTACTTCTGTCTTTTGCCCATGTCTAATCTGAGTTCTGTTTTACCTTAGCTTCTGTCTATGTTCCTTGTTGGTGTTAGTTTATTTGTGATCTGTCTGCTTGTATTAGTTATTTATATTATTCTGATGTTTAATGTTGAGTAACTTGTGTCTTGTCTTTTCTCCCCTCGGTAATCTGCCTGCCTGCTAGTCTCTCTGTTTTCCCTGCTGTCTCTCTGTCTGCCTCTTCTTCTTCATATGGATTTACAGCAGTTTAGATGCTTCTAAGCATATTACTGTCCTCCTCAGGAAGTCGCTATAGTGAAAACGTTATTGTTTCAAATTTTATATATAGCCCTGTATCGTGTAAGAACTGTAATACTACTTTGACAATCAAGTGGTGGTTCTCATTTTGACCCAATATAGATTTGACTGAGAATGACAGAACTCCCAAATCTGATAATCTCTTGAATAAAAAGCTCCTTTCTATATTGTATTTGTTACATTTCAGCAAAACATGTTCCACTGTTTCAGAGTTCCCGCACTCACAAAGCCCATTAGGATGCTTTCCAATGACATATAAGGACTGATTCAACCCACAATGCCCAAGTCAAAACCTACAGATTTGAACAGAATCTATTCTGGATCCAAAACAGTGCCTGACTTTTTTAACCTGAGATTGCAAAGAGTAATAATGTCTCCCCTTGGTCTCATTTTCCCACAATCTTTTCCGTTCCCCTTCAATACTCTGCTTATTTCCTTTTTTCTTTTAGTTCCACTCTTCCCAATGATATATTTATATCTGTCTCTAACTTCTTTAAACTTGATTTTGCTAAAAGGTCTGCTACTTCATTTCCTTCAATTCCCGCATGTCCCGGGACCCAGCAGAACATAACATTGCTACCGATCATTGTAATTCTAAATAATACGGCTAGAATTTGACTTATGATATCAGAACGGGCTTTTGCTTTACCGCCTTTCAAGGCCATCTGGGCAGCTGCAGAATCAGAGCAGATTAAGGCTTCTCTTATTTTCACGTCCTCAATCCACCAGAGCCCAAATAACTGCCAGTAGCTCTGTTGTAAAGACAGAACTTGCCATGTGTCTGCCTGTTTCCTGTCTGTTCTTGATCCCTGACGTTTGTTGTATGTAGTATTATCTGCTGGATAGTTTGGACTTTGCTTTCTGTTCCATGGACTTTGGATTTCTGTTGCCCGTTTGGATTTCCTGTGTTTGTGGACTACCTTTGGTGAATTCTGGACTCTTCTGTAAGTTTTGTTGGCTGGAAAAAATCCTCAGAAACTGTACCTGTTCTGCCTCTGTGTCGTGCGTTTGGGTCCTAAAACCTGTTCCTGCCTGAAAACACGGCCAAGTGTGACATCACCTTACATTAGGTACCACAGAGCCCGCCAGAAAGCTTGCCTGTGACAAGATGGCCGACGGTGATGACGATAGAGACTCCGCCGTAAGACATCTAGCCTTTATTATGGATATCTATGTTAGCCCTAACCTTTTTATTTCCTCCATCCTGTCCTTAATCTCGGATTTATATTTCCTACAACTAACAATCACACACTGTACACTACAGTTTATAGTGCATGACAATGTTTACAAATACCGCATGGATGCTTAGCTATAATGTGAGATGTGCAGTGGTGGACGAAGTATTCAGATCCTTTGCTTAAGTAAAAGTACAAATAGCAAACTGTAAAAATACTCAGTTACAAGTAAAGGTACTACACTCAAAATGTTAAGTAAAAGTATGCAAG